CTCTCTCTCTCTCTCTCTCTCTCTCTCTCTCTCTCTCTCTCTCTCTCCCGGTTGAGGACACTTACTGACAGAATGCATTCTCACCCGTGACCTAATTCTAACCCGAACACTAAAACCAAGTCGAAAAAAGTGATGAGCAGCTAAAATGTCCTCACTTTCAAAAAATGTCCTCTCAAGGTGTAAAACTTTAAGTGGTCCTCATAAAGATATATGTACAGGTACACACACACAGTGGCTTTCTCTCTCCTTCGCGCACACACAAACGCATGTACGCCCGCCTCCCTGTACTATCTTTGTGAGGACGTTCATTGACTTAATGCATTCCATAGCACCTTCTCTTTAGAATGGGGGGGGGGTGGTACAGAGAACCATTAGCTGTGAGTATCTCTCTTTTTAATCTGCATGCAAATACACTCAAAATATTCACAAGCCAAAGGAAGATGCAACACATGCTTTTCAGGCCCGCATGTAAAAACAAAAACACGAAAAAATATCCACCGTATTTCTTCTCAAATTTACAAACTAACATCACACACACACACACACACACACACACACAGCTGGATTCTGAATTCTCTTTTTTCCGAGAACCAAAGTACAAAAGATTTTCAGCGAACGTCAGTTATTTCCAGGAATGAAAGAGGGGAAAGAAAGGAAGTGAAGAGGGGGTGAGCTCGCCTGCCAGAAAGCCCATCAGCCAATCAGCTAATTACGCTGGTAAATTGCGGTAATTATGCTATGGAGAGTACTCATCTGTTGGCCAGAAACCCCCGATCCAGCAGCCACTTCCATTAATAACAGCAGACGGCTACAGACCCAGCAGCACCTGAATACAGATGCTCCACCTCTTCAGCTGAGTTATCACCGCGCTGTCGTCACTTCGCCCCTCGATGGAGGACTTGGTTAGAAAAATACAAAAACGCTTTTCCTTCCCAGCTCTGCAGGTAGTGTGTAGCTGGAGCACAGCTTCCAAACATTTTCATTTATTCCAAGGCTGAAGAGTTTTTAAAAACATCATTCAATGCTCAAACAAGGTTAATCGGCCACAAACGCATCAGAAATCTAATCTTGTCTCCATCAAAAAGAATATGAAATAATTTGCCATTCTTGTCGATAACTCTAAAAAGGTGAATGGGCAGGCGGTCTGTCACGGAGCTGCAGACCTCTCACACTCCGACCCATTTCCATAAGAACAGACCGTGAGTGTGAGCGCTACGCCGAGCACAAAAAATTGATTTGGCCTTTCGCTCCACAACCTTGAGCGCCGACCTTCCAAAAACCTGAGGGGGGTGGATCGGGGGGGTGGACTCACATCTGAAGAGAAGGGGAAGGGTGGCGGATGCTGGGGGGGGTTGAAATTTGTAATGGAGGAGAGAGCAGGAATGCAAGGGGGAACGGAGAGCAGCGCTGGAATTAGAAACGGAGGAGGAAGTAAACAAACTCTCTGAGGTTGTGGGTATCGAGCGGACGGTCGGAGAGCGAAGGAGGAAGGAGATGTTCAGTCTTTCATGAGGACAGTTCAACAGGAGGAACCAGAGGAGGCTGGTTCTCCTTTATTTTTGAGATCGCCATCTTGGAATAAGACCGTCTCCATCTTGTTGTTTTTTTTGCAACCGATAAACAGGAAGTGACCATATCTGGACTAAGGAGGAGTGACGTAGAGACGCCATCTACATCTATGGTAGAGACCTGTCAATCACCGTGTAGCCCCGCCCTAAAGCATCCCCTGCTTTATGGTCTGTTTGACTCTAAATGGACCATAATGTACTAAATGAACATCATGCTGTATTGAAGAAGACTTGAAACTAGAGATTGAGACCATAAACTCATGTTTACAATGTTTACTGAGGTAATAAATCAAGAGAGAAGTAGAGTCATTTTCTCATAGACTTCTATACAACCAGAGGAGTCGCCCCCTGCTGGACATTAGAGAGAATGCAGCTTTAACACATGAAGCAGTGTGACAGATATAATCAGGTTTGGAAGAACAGCTTCAGCCTGAGGGACAAATGGAGAGTGGCAAGGAAGAGGTGATGAAAGAGGGAGAGGAAGATGAGGAGCAGGATTAAAAATAAAGAAAGGAGTGATGGAGGAGGACGAGGAAGAAAGAGGAGGAGGTGACTGTAGAAGGAGGACAGACGAGGAAAGGAACCAGCAGAGAGGAGAGCCAAAACTAAAAAGAGCCAAAACTCAATAAATAATGCTTACATTATAACAAATAACCTCCACAAACAAGTTAATAATTCAATCTCCACAAGCTCGGACAAGCCGGGCTGCCGACCCGACGAGTCGTGCGTCAACTGTCACAAGAGATAAACGTCCGTCCCGTTAAACCCTAACCCTGAACACACGAGGCGCCTGCTGGGCGGCAGGAAGCCACCCGGAGTCAGCCCCGCTCGGTCCTCTGTGAAAAAACATGAAGATTAATGAAAAACTAAAGAGCGGTTCCAACCGAGAATGAAATCTAACGTTTTGGAGAAAAAAAATTAACTGCAGCTGTGAAATAAGACGACACAAAAGTATTTAGACGAGCGGTGCAATGGATCATAAAACTCACGGATCGGATCAGCACGAAAGAAAAGAGGCAGCAAATAGAACTTTTAATGATCCCGGATCACGTATTCTAAATATTATCTTTGTACTTTGTTATTGTCATCTACAGTGTTTTTTTCTTCATAAAAACACACAGTTCAAAGTTGAATGATGTAATATAATGTGCTTACAGCTCATAATTCATCTCTAATGTCTGTTATATATTCATGTGAAAACATCTCCTTCAAACTACTGGATTTATTCTAGTTCATCACCAAAACTACATTTTACAGATGACATGTGAACACATCATGATAACATTATAATGTACCTTCAGCCAGTACTCATGTTCACTGAGCAGAGCCGGTTAGCCGTTAGCGGTGCTGCTAACGTTACTAGCTCTCCTCCTGTT